TGTACAATATGTACCTACTTACCTATATGACGCATTTTAACATCATTATAGTTTTTAGGGTTTATACTGAATGTGCCACTGTAGGAAACTGTGACGAAGGTATTATATGGGTCATCATAATTAATAAAGCAGCATTTAAATCTATTTTTACCTACCTCTATGCACACATTGCCTTTTTTATTTTTGTTCCCATCGCATCATTTGTGAACAATAAAGTTTATTACTGTATTGGCCTTCGAAGTCTTTGGCGCCATTTAGTGGATTCACTTGAGAATAATTTAATTGCGTTCATAACTACTTGATTATGAATATAGAGGCTTAACTATACTTCCCGATTTAACTGGAATTTTAAAGATACGTCTCGCCCTACCTGCCTGGCAGGTTTGGTTATTCGTCTTAGTTGTTGTTGCATAGTTTATGCTTCAATAAAAGGAGAGTGGATTTTATATTTATTTTATTAGAGAGTCTTGGGGTTCTGTCTCTTGTCCCGAATGAAGCCTTCAAGATCATTGTAAGCCTTAAAGAAAGTAATACCTTTGTAATAGAATATAATGCAGCCTAAGAATTATTAGAAGAACTTCGCGCCCAGCCTGTAAGACCTCGGTAATATAGCGAATCCTCGATTTTTAACCACCTGTACTGTAACCCTAAACACGAACCAATGTCGAATTCGAAAAGTTGATTTGCGATTTAAACACGCGTTAAAGGCCAAATAGTATTATTGTATGGAAGATTTTTAATTCTCGGTACGTTCGTTGTGGTACTGTTCAAATTTCCATACAAAACTTCTTAAAATTTGACGCTTCGATTAGGCGCGAATCTCAATAGATTTGAGTCAACTATTCGAATTCAATAGTAGTTTGTTCTACAAATGCTGATGATAAATGGCCGCAATAGACCTATTGAAGCTTGCGATGAGATTAACACATTTGTTTTAATCTAAGGATAAAACTCATTCGGTTATGACAAGAGTGAAGGTGATGAAAGAAAATTGATTAAAAATAGCTATGAATACTTTTCGATAGGCAAGCTATCATAGGCATTTTTGTTTATAAATTATATCTATTTGATAAAAAAAAATCTCTTTGAGTTATCAGATTAGTGAAGGTGATCTCCCACCGGTTCTTAGACACAGCGGTGACTACATATTTCTTATTTTTTTGGTTGTAGACTTTTTATAGATGTTTTTTATACTACAAAACTACAATGAATCACTTTATGTAACTTGAACTGTTACTTGAAAGCTACTTTCTTTCAGTTGTCGTTTTTTTCATTCACCTTTTAAGTATTATTATTTATTTGACTTGGAAAGTTTTCTATAATGTCATACATATTTAGTTAGTTTTGCCCTCTCGGACCGATCTGAATAATTATCAAGTTGAAGTTGTAAGGTTATCCGTTGATAAGCACCAAAATAAGCTTACTAATGGTTAAGTTTAAACAATGAAGTTATTCTTTTCGTAAGGTTTATGTTTACTAATTTTTTTTTAAGGAATTACCAAGTTTGCGAAATAATATTATGAAAATTTAAAGTTATTTTTTTTTTAAGATAAGCAATGACTTTTAATGTAAGAGATGGACATTTGTCTATGTTGCCTGGAAAGTTAGCAACTAGAGCATGCTATATGTTTATTTCGTTTCCTGTCCAACATATAGGCGTCACAATATATAATAATTCAAAATATGTCAATATGGGAAATGTGAATCATTCTTCACTTTGTACATTCCAAGTTTATATCGTTGAGTTCAATTTATTCTACCGCAAACCGAAGGAATTCATTTCCACCGTTATGAACAATAAGGAATATAAATTGTATGACGTGTCGGGAGCAACGAATTGGATACAATCAAATACACGTAATGCAAGCTTTATGCGTTTACGGTTTTAGGTGTCTAGGTGAAGTTCATAAAGATTATTCATATTCCTTGAAAAAAAAACAATCGATTGCTTGTCGGGACCGCATACTTAGGTTTGTGCGATTCGAAAAAAGTCAAACCACTAAGTTAACGAACGAAAAAAGATACGGCCGCTTATGCCGAAAAAAACGTAATTTCGACACTCTCAGGGAAATCTATATATAAGTATAGGATACTTTCCATTTTTTTATGTTAAAAGGGTTCATTCCAAACTAGCATATGGTTCGCCTGATGGTAAGCGGCCACAATAACCTATGCAAGTTTTGCTATACCAAAATACCAAACAAAATCATTCGCGCCGTTGCGTTGCTTACCCAGACCCAATCCCTACCCTGTGGAGTCCTGGATTTACTCTCTTCTACTTCCGTTGAACTGTGAAATTTGGCAAGTAATATTGTCTTGTACTACAAGTACAGGGGAAAATCTGAAAACTATACATTATTTTTGCCTGTAAATAAGGTTCCAGGGATCCACTGGGTAGGGGTTTGGGTCAGGGTAGACAACGGCGCGACTGATATTTTTTGGATTGCTTTCATCTAAAGGCTATGGTGACCGCTTAACATCAGGCAGACCATTAGGCTTGTTTGTCACCTTTAACATAAAAAATGATCTCCCTTATATTTTTTTACAATCGGTGCTTGTCCTAAGTTTTAGGAAAAAGTCATGTTACATAGCTTATTATATTTTTAAATTTTAAGCTTTTAAATATATAGCTACATATTTATAAAACTAAATAATACATTTACTAAAAATATTCCACTTGGTCTAGTCACAGCACCTCCCGCCCGTATTGCGGAGAGTGTGGGTGATGTCGAATCCTGCCTGATGGCTAGACCGCATGGATTTTTTTCTTGTAAAATTTACTGTAGTCTTTTTACCTAATTACTTATCTTCCAAGAGAAAGCATTTTTCAGTATACTTTCGAATTTTTCATACTTATTCTGCAATAGATTAAGTAAATGGTAAATTTGTAATAGTTATATTTAGATGACATATTTATATATCTATGAAAAAATAGTTTATATGAGAACTTCCGTTCTCTTAGGATACAATTTAAGTAGAAGTAAAAATAAGAATAATTTATAGGTAATTCAAGTATCTTTATTAATACAAACATTGATGACTCTCCTAGACTAATAAACACGTAGATTATTAATAATTTGCAATAAGCTTGACACATGATTCAGAATCCACGTTATCACCATTTCCTTCCACATAGTCAACGTTTCCCTTTAAATTTGTTAAAAAATAAGTAATGAATGCTCACAACACTTTTCTGTGCGAAAATCGAAAACGCCCAGGGTTGCTTCATTTCAGTTTAGTAAGACCTTTGGAAAGGCAATATTTTTGCACTATTTTTTTCTTATGTTTTAAACACACCAATTCGCATGTTTTGCAGGCTCCTCAATCGCAAAATTAGCTTGTACAGGATCCGAAACATGTTTCTATATTTTGGATAACCCATATATAAATTTATATTTAAGGTACATTTAACACTTAGATAAGTTTATTGAGTTCCTACTAAATAACTGCACCAATTAATTTAAACAGAGAGAAGTTGGAGCATGCCTAATCAAATTAACCACAATCACTTACACTGCCAAGTTGTAAAACTACTTATTTTAGTTAAAACATTAGAGATGGAACAGAATAGAATACATAGTGGTAATTATATTTGTAGTATCTGTGTTGGGGAGAATATTTCTAATCTATAGTCCCACATACAGGTACTTCTTTATTCCAATTCGAAAGGTCGCTAATCGGGATGATAGGAAGATGCTTTGTTTTTAATTTAAATATGTACTCACATAATGTATTGTCATTTGAAACATTAACGTGCTAGATTTATTACTCTAAATATGTAGTTACTAAAAAAATTACTTACACTTATTTTACTTCTTTTGATAAAAATGAGCTGTAAACTTTGCGGTATGAGAGCATAAATAGAATAAATTTACAGCTTATTCAACGGTTGGAGATAAATCTTATTGATAAATAAAACAATAAAGAAAAATAAATTTCTTGGGAATAAAATAATATGTTGTTGGTAATGAGCGAGCGCTATGAACGACACAGAACATATTAATAAAAAAAAATCGCTGCTTTCTGTTATCCCTTCAAGCTTTTATATTCATAACAAAAAGTGTCTAAAAATCTTAGAAGTCCACTTTGAATTCATATCAAGATTCATCAAATTCTGCTTAGGCATGAAATCTTAATATTATTGACACAATAACAAACAGATTCTCTGTTAAAATTAAGGTATGGATGAACAATATGATTTACCTGTATCGTTTAAAAATTATGCCAAGAGTCTGTTAAAACGATTTCACATGTTTTTTTCGCTAGCTACTTATTTGAGATTAATTTTACTTTGGTGGCAATTCTGGAATAATTTTCTAAACTTAAAACTAAATTTAACATCAGTCTCTACTTTTCATTCTGTATAGAAAATGACAAGGAAAAACTGTTTTCTAACTTAATTTAGGCTTAGAGAATCATGCTAGTAGAGACACTATTATTGTGAAATTGAAAAAGAAACTTATCAAGATTAATAAACAGACTAGGATAAACAGGCGGGATCCGTATTTCGCACTGCGACGGTTCTTATTTATTAATTGCACGCTCCCAGACCCTAGCGATATTTATTTTTTAATTTCATTCACTTGTTTCACTCAATATGCAGTTAAATTCCTAATTTCCTTCTCCTTTTCATATAAAATATCTATAATTACAACTTCATCGTAACATATTAACATTTTAACAAATGAGTTGTTGTTGGCTTTCCGGAGCTATCTGCGACAAACCGTGCTAAGTGAAGGTAACTTATATTTTTATTCTATAATATTTTTTTTTATATTTAAACAATATTCCTTATGTTATTAATTGTATGATGATTAACCCTCTTAAGCGTACCTTCAGAACATAACGAGGGCAGCCCTGTGCCAGTACAATCGGTTAGTCACTCCGCTGCGTAAATCAAAGTAAGTTTGCTCCACTATATAATGTAAACGAAATCTCAAGTTTCTATTCTTCAGTTGGCTGTAGAGCGGTGCACGGACTGGTCACTAAACTTGATAACAATGGCGATACGCGTGCTCCTCTTTTTGGCTTTACTAGTCTGCGTTCAATGCAAAAGTTAGTCGTCTACTTTTTGTGTCTGTAGATGTTACTTTTAATTTCCATTTAAACTTTTACTTTCATCTATTTTGTTGTCGATTAAGATTAAGTTTTATGTCATCGTTTAATTGTTGTTAATTGTGATTTCAGTGTTAAACCTGTCGTGTCAACAAATAAAGAGCTTTGTCGATGGACACAATATCAGGAGAGAGCAGCTGGCTAACGGAAAGGTGCCTGGACAACCTGCCGCTTCAGAAATGAAATATATGGTAAGAGATTGGTGTTGCAATTTCACCTTTCTGATTCACATAGTAACGGATTTTTAATTACACAACTTGAAAATTTAAAAGTTGGGAAATGGCCTAAACATCTCGTCGCATAATTATTTTCTAAAGGTACTATATTTTTAACCATCTACTTATTTAATAAGACACTTTGAATCAGGTTAATAATAATATTATCGATATTTGAAGTGCTTAATTATTTTTGTTTATTAAACTTTTCATATTGACAAGAATACACTCAGAGCTTTTAGGTTTAAGTGTTTCTTATAACTCCTTAATTTGAACATTTTTAGAATTATCTCAACCATAGCACGGTATGAAAGGTACGGTCATTGGTCAAATTGCCCTAAACTGTCGAATATCTGCAGCAAATTTTAAAGTTATGGTTAAAATATTTAAGAGTTTAGAAATGGTTCAAATATTCACCCGAAATGTGTGGCTTTGCCTGTCAAACAGGTCTAAGTGGCCGTTTACTACTTGGGTTGGCACCGTTTCCAAACATTGTTAAATTTACTCTAAAATTTAGTCTTTTTGTGCTTTATGTATTTTGGATTTAAGTAAGGGTCATTGAAATAATATTAGTAGTATTTTAAGAAGTTGGTTTTCATTTTCACTTTTTAGGGTTTCGACCCCCAAAAGGAAATAACGGAATCTTTATAAATTACTTAACAGTTTGTTATCCGTCTGTGTGTCTGTCAAGACCCTTTTTTTCAGGAATACCTAAAGGTATCAAATCAAATTTAAACCATTTACTCAGATATATACGGTCTTTAAAGCATTGAAAAAATCTAACTTCTAAGTTAACGTAACAACAGATACGGGGGCCAATCGCCTAACGGAAATGCTTTGGAAAACGCTAACGCTTACGATTTCATTTTATTATTTCTAGCCGCCTGAGGTTTTCAAATGCCTCGCGCTCTTTTTTTTTCTTTTGCATTGGCAATAACAATATTAAAAAAAATGAGCGTGAGGTATTTGAAAACCTTCGGCAGTCAGAAACAACAAAATAAAATCGAAAGCGTTTGCGTTTTCCAAAGCATTTTCGTTAGGCGCATGGCCCCACGGTCGTGCATGATGCGTACCTAGTACGAAAAACTTTGCACGCACAGTCCGACACGCACTTGTCCAGTTTTTAGAAGAGGTGACCAGTATTATAACGTAGTTAGTAATATCACTAAAACCTCAAAAGAAAATTAATTAAAAAAAAGATTCATCAACATCTATTCATAATTAATGTAATTATAAATAATTAGCGGAATAATCCAACGATATTAATTGGAATAACCACGTACTAAGCAAAGCAAAATGCATACAGTCGACTAAATTGATAACCTGCTTTTATTACGGATGCAGCTAGAAAGTAAAATTAATATTGTTTAGATTCACAAAATAGAGGAAATTTTTGGTTCTTGTGGATAACATGTTCGTTAATTGTATTTGATAATATTTTTGAAGTGAAAACTGCTTTAGCGGCGTTGTACACTTTTTTGTATGGGTAAAAAAGAGTAAACTCGCGTCAGGTTAAACACGTGGGCTGATCACATCATGACACACAATCAAATTGGAAAGGTTGTTGACTTTCAATATATTGGACGAAACATAGTAATATTTTATAATAATAAGTCTCTATCTAGGACGTCCACGTGGCAGCTTTATTGCGAAGAAAATGCATTTTTTTACAATAGATCTCGCTAGGTGCACTTAAATGTGATCCATGTAAGTTGATTTCTTTACAATAGATGTCGCTAAGTGCGCTTAAACGTGATTCATGTAAGTTGATTTTTCTGAGAGATAATCTTTTATCATGTTATATAAATTGTCATGTTTGTGTACGATAGCGCAATAAATAAATATTGTATTCTACCACATACATGATAGTACTTTTATACTGATAATTAAAGCAATTCGTGCAAAATTATACCCTAACATTTCCAAAATATCAAAAATGCACAACGATAATATTCAAGTTTTCACATCAGCCGGTACTCCCGGAGTGCAACCCGTCGTTTTTTTTTTTACTTATTTAGTTTTAATTGCTACAAAGTTCGAAATTCATTCATAAGTACATTCACCATCACAAAATACATAGTTATTCATTCAATAGTCTATATCACGAGAATACTATATCATGTAAACACCAAGCGGAGCGAATCTGAAAACTATGTGTAACGATAATAAAAATATATTAGGAATTATTAAAAATTGAAACGGTACCTTTATACGTTTTGCTTACGTTTGTTGTACTGTGTACTTTGATGATACTGCGAGCAAATAGATGTAATTTACTTGTATCAAAACAATCTCAAACTAGATTCTATGCGTCTTTTTTGACATTATCTAAATTCTTATTACACTATTTTAGAATGTATGGTATTACGAACAAAAACGAAATAAGTACTTATTCCGTGGGAATTAATGTTTGTTTATAAATTTTGTACAGGTATGGGACGATGAGCTCGCCGCCAAGGCAGCCAAATGGGCAACTGTTAACCGAAGACAGCACAATCCAGACCGAACTATAGGTAAGTTGGTCCACAGTTCAATAATAATAAACAAGTAAGCTCTGTGTAGGGCGATTCTGTATAATAAAATCTTACTATTAAGTTCGAAAGCATTTTTCGTCAGTTTTTCTCCACAGCTAAAAAAGGTGGTAGGGTAAAATATGGACGATTCAAAAGTGTTATATTTTGCATCCAATTTGAATAAAGATATTTTTGACTTTTTACTTTTACTTTAGTTAATAGCATTAAGTCTCAAAGTCAAAATATCGCAATGGCTGCGGCACCTTGTTAACGATCGGTTTTCCGTCGGTTCTTGGCACGCTTTCTACATGGGTCGGTGCCGGCTTGTTCACGAGCACGGTTTGTACGCTTGTACCGTACCCATAGCACGAACCAATATCGAATTCGAATGGTTTGCGAGTACGAAATGTCATTGTCAATTTTTTATGGGAACTTGAACAGCAGCGCCATAACGTACGTAAAGAGAACTTAAAAATCAGTACCTACACATTTGACAATGACATTTCGGACTCGCAAACGATACGAATTCGATATATATTTATTTTATCTATTGTATTATATTTTTTAAGGTTTTTAGTTTTAGGTTCATAGTTCTAGTATATATATTTTATGTGTGTAATTATTATGTTTACTTAGGTTAAAATTTTATTGGTTACTTCGTAAGTTTATAGTTTCTGCTGTGAATAATTGTCTATGAAAAATAATTCGATATTGGTTCTTGCTAAGGGCACTTATCTCAAACCATCGTTAGCGCCGGTGTCGTTAGCAAATCTCTATTTTGTCCATCCCTAACTGACGACCGGATGTAGACATGGTGTAAAATCGTGCGTAAAACCGGCGGAAATCGTCTCGGCAACAAGCGCCATTAAATCACATCTAGAGTATCAGATAGTTGACAAAAATTCTATGTAACTAAACCACATAATGAAACCGAATGTGAAATTCCATGATACAGAATAGCCATGCTGTTTTTCTTAAAAAAAACAGGAGGCTCACTCAACTATAGCTCTTTTCGTCATCCCCTTCAGAGCTAAAAATAAATATATATAAACTATGAAATTCAAGGGATCAAGGGGGAAGATTCGTAAAACTTCCGTAAACCTCGTAATCCTTACAAAAGACCACAGTAAAATAAAACTACCTTTTGGTGATGTTGTATTATAGACTGTCGGTGAGTAAGGTTCCAAGGTTCCAGGGTTCCACGGGGTAGGGGAATGGGTCAGGGTAAGGCAACGACGCGAGTGCTATTATTTGTATCACAAGCTTCTATAGGTTATGGTGGCCGCTTACCATCAGGCGGGTCATATGATTGTTTGCTATTAACATAAAAATAGGGTGACTGGCGGTGAGAAAAATGTGTTGCTCCAGTCATCCTTACCCTGCAATGCTAAACGCAATACCTATCCCAAGGAGGCCTTAATAATTTTCTCGCCGGCTGATATTCAACACACTAAACGTTAGTGTTATTACTCTATGATATTCCTTAAGCTAAAGGTAGCACATGGGTGCCCCCCCTCCACCCCTCTGGGGCCAAACAAAAATAAATACCGGCAATTACCAAAGTTGTTCTGTCGGTTGATGCTTTGCGTTGAACTTTTTCAAAAGTTTGCAGATGGCGTGATTTGTTTAAATAAGTATGTATCAATTTTATTTCTGATTCGCTTAGAAATACGGATCAAAATTCAGCAGCAATGTGTAGTTATATGAATAATCAGGTGATTTGGACATGTTTTTCTTATTTTCATTCAATTCATTCTCAAATTGTTACCAAGTGGAAAACTAGACTATATTATGTAATCTAGGACCGGACAGCCACGCGTGAGTGAAATAACTAAGATGGACGTGATGTTGATAGATTCGATACATTTCTTAGCTCGCATCCTTTTTTCTCTATTATAAAATGAAAATCCCCGTTTCCATTGGCCACGCGCGCCATAAATTGAAAAAGATTTTAACGATTTCATCCATCTTTTAAAAAAGAACTTTCTAATAAATCTAAAACATTTTATTGTTAGTGAGTCCGCCCGGTATGCGTATGATACCTACGGGTTCGAATCCCGTCTGATGCGTGGATCGTGTGGAATTTGTTCTAGCATTTTTTTCTCTACATTTATAAATCTAGCAGCTTATAATTAAAATTTATTGTACTTTCTTATACTTAGATATAGAAAAATAGAAAGTTACGGGTCGAAGCTAATATCTTTTTATTATTTTGATAGATTTTTCCACTTTTGCCTCGAAAAAGGGAATTTTCAGTATTTGGAACGATTCAGCTATTTTGGCAAGTGAACTATACCTACACTTAACTGCTTAACGAGTGGAGGAGTTTTAGTATTAAATTTAATAAAAGTGAGAGTACTGAGAGTTTCAGAATGTATTTTGCCATCTGCAAGAACATTAGCTTCTAATTCTTAACCAAAATCGAAAGAAAATGAGTACTAACTTGCGTTATTGGTCAAAGTCAGCAGAAAAATTACTCCATTTCTCATCGAAAAGTTAGCAGATGGCGTATTTTGAATTTTATGTATTTTTTTAATAAGTTTAAGTTTTACTCTCGATTCTCAGGTTCCGGTCGGTTCTCAATTACTGGCGAAAACTTGTACTGGTATTCTACTACCGACCACACGTACAAGCTCAGCCCTGAAAGCGCTCTGAAGGCGTGGTTCGATGAATACAGGGACTATTACTATGGACCGATCAAGAACAGCGACTTCGGTGGGTCCAAGCAAATCGGACATTACACCCAGGTACGAATTAGTAAAGTACAACATACAATAATACATAAAACAATTTATACTAAGGCTTGGTCTGTGGGGAAAAATTTTAGTTCTCTTATACAACTTCCACTCCTCTTTTGACTCCCTCAAAAGATGATTTCTGTAATAAAAACTTCAGTCCTTTCCGGTGACTCAAAATATCTCTATAAATTTAATTTTTAATTTGTTTGGTTCAGCGTGAAGAAGCAACAGACACTTTCGCATTTATAATATTAAATGGATGACCGTGACTTTTTTGATGGATGACGGTATATTATATCCTTTATATTGAATATGTTTTAATAAAACAGCTTCCCCCCCCTGCCATTATTACGGAATTTTAATTTTGTATATACCCCAACAATCATCAATATAATTTGAATAAATAAACTGCTAGAAAATATTTAAAATACTGCTAAAATCCCTTCTAATTGCCCTTTCTGTTGGCTATGCCCACGAATCAGAAATGGCACCATTATTATGACGATTGCCGCAGACTCCAGCCCCCTTCTTAATAAACCAAGACTAAGCTTGGATTAGTAACTTGTTGTTTTGTCTCTCTTTAAATAAATAAGTTCTTGAACTTGGAATAAAGTAGGTATGTACTCTGTATACGTTCGTATTGTTATATGAGTTTGTGTGATATTGATTCTTGTGTTATTTACTGCTAGTGGTCTGGGTGGAAAATTGGTTTTTCATACAATGAAAAATTATTTATCACCACCCTTTATCACCCCGATTACTAGGATAAAAACTATCCCAATCTTTCCTCTAGATTCGAACTAGCTGAATACCAAATTTCATTCAAATCAGTTCAGTGGTTTAAGCGTGAAGAGCTAACAGACGGACACACTTTCGCATTTATAATATTAATATGGAAATATGGATTAACGCAATGTATAAGTATAAAGAGTTATAGTAGAGTACCATTTTACGCTTCGATTTTTGCATGCCATCGCATCAACGTAGAAGGGGGTGTATTGGTTGCCTCATATAAACCGATTATAAAGGTCATAATAATTTATGTTTTGTGTAATTTTTCACACTAAGTTTTAGTACTGTTTTACATGTATTTGGAGTCAACCTATTTGGTAATTTGACCGTTAAATAATGTTGTTTTTTTTTTCTTAAATTAAAAGTAGGAACTTCTTATAAAAAATACTATATAGGTACCCTTGAAAAATTATAGCTATAAGTAGTTTAATCACGTATAAGATCTTATAAGTAATTTTATTTCGTTCACGTATTGGAAGTTTTTGGTATGGCCTATAAATATGTTTGGAGCAGAGATTATTTAAAGATTTCAATGAATACATGCTGTACAACTTTGCATACTAATCAAATTTCAACAGCAATGTAAATTAGGTAAGTTATATGTTTATCAGGAGATTTTCGACTTTTATTTTCATTCAATTGATTTTCAAATTGTTACCAAGTGGATTCCTAGACCATGTAATCTAGGACCGGTTCAGTTCTGTCTCAGAAGTCAATTTGAATGGACTATACGTGCGTGAAATAACTAAGATGGCCGTAATGTTGACAGATTCGATACATTTCTTAACCATCATTCTTTTTATCTCTTTAACTAAAAAAAGGATACTTTTTCTTTTGATCTCCACGCCATAACTTAAGACTAAACAGATTACATCCAATTTTTTAAGTTTTCTAATACTTACTAGAAGTTGTTCGTTAATTGACGGAGACAAAGTTGCAGGTTAATACCAATAGTAAGTACCAATTGTAAGCATGTGTATTTAACATGAAGATTAGAAGCGATTTTACTTAACTGACAAAAAAAATGTTGATAATATTACTAAAAGTCATATAATAGAAAAGTATATTTCTGTAATTTCATCTTTGTCACGTGACCTAAAACGTCTAAGATTGGCAGTACCTATGATGTCAACTGCTTGTAAACATGCTGTCGAAGTGACTTTACTTTGTACTGTTTGACGTTTTATTGAGAGTCGTGTGACGTCACCTGCCTGTAAACACGCCATATTTTCTAGAGAAACGTTTGCACAGCGTATTTGAAAACAGTTTTTTACTGATTTACGGAACAGAATTATGAATGTCCTTTTTATGAAATCACTGTAAACTAATAAATAAGGTATGAACGTCAAAAAGCCTATTTCCACGACGTAGAGGATTTAAAGTATTTGCATCGCATGTGCAACTGGACTCCACTTACACTTAAAAGGCAATAGGGAGGAGTTTTGTCATAAAATTAAATGAGAGTAAGAGTATTGATAGTTTAAAAATAACTTATGCTACTTGCAAGAATATTTGCTTCTGATTTTGGACCAAAATTTTGTGAGAATTTCTTGCGTTTTTGGTCAGAAATTAGAAGAACAATTACTCCATTCCTTATTATTCCATAATCATATAATAAGAAATAAAACAATACTCTTTAAAATAACTTCGTTCTTAAGTCATAATTATTGTTGCATCAAATCTTCAGATGGCATGGTCGGAGTCAACGCACTTGGGGTGTGCGGTTTCACAGTTTTCCGAAGGTGGTTGGAACAAATACTTCGTGGTTTGCAACTATGGGCCTGCGTGAGTATTAAATTCAAAATCCAATTCAAATTCAAAAATCATTTATTCAGTTTATGTTTTTACAAGCACATGTGAAAGTCGAAAACTACACCATCAGTTCGCAAAACTACGGCAGGAGACCTTGTACTCAGTAGAATCGGCAAGAAACTCAGCAAGGGCTGCTTTTTTCTCCCTGTTTTATTTCATACAGTGTCGTCAAATTGAAAGTTGACAGCAAACATGTGTTGACGTCAACTTCCATCACATAATGTCAAAGAGGTAACAATAGATAATCAACGAATTTACTAACAATAAGTGTATTTATTTACCTGCCTTTAGAGATTACATATTTAGAAACAACTGATACACGTAAAACTTTTTTTTTTGTTTTGTTATATGTTTATTAAATGGTCTTGTATTATATTAAGTTTGAATATTTATAAAGAAAATTATCAAGCTGAGTAAAGAGATAGGCTTTGAAATATGATGATCTCGTTCGTTGATAGTAAGTGAAACGAGCAAAGTTAATAAGAAGCACTAAGTAACTAAAAATAATGGTTTCTAAGTACTTACCTATTGTACATAAGTAAAATTTGAATTAAAGTGAGCTAGATTTATTGAAGTAAATATATTAGACTGTAACGCACATGCTTTTTGGAACAAAATAATCAACTGTTTAAACCCTTTGAGTCATTCATATGATGATGAATTAAAAAAATTAAACACAAATAAAAAAGTTTGAGCAACATGCATCATTTATGCAAACTGCAGGTATTATCAGTTGAAATTTCGTTCGTTATAAATGTATAATTTATTCAAACGTTTCCTTGCTTTAGTCACAAATAAATCAATTTAGTTATAACAAAATAATATAAGTATTATAAATATTAAAAATTGGTCAAAAGTTTAAAACAGTTTGTTGCTTAGACTTTTTGATGAGAATACATACAAAGAGTATTTAACTACTATAGCAATCGTGACAAAACCTCATTATTGAGTATATTATTATTATTATAGACATCTTAGTATAATAATGTTTATGTTGAGTATTGTTTTATTTTTCAGCGGCAACATGCTTGGATCTCCGCCGTACAGAAGCGGTAGTCCGGTCGGGTACCTCGTGTGCGGAACTGACGACTGCAGCCGACCTTACGGCGACTCGTGCTAAAGATCCTTAGATTAACCTCACTAATTGTACATACATCCTACTTGAAGCCAAACGTACCTATAACATAGTTATAAGTTTAACTTTAAATTAATTAAAATAACTTATTCACACGATTTGTATTTTAATTTGAATGCTCAGGGCCAGACCATGAGTTTAAGAGGCCCTGGGATAATACTACTTATAGGCCTACCTAATTACTCAAAGTATAGAAAAAAATGAGACTAAAATATTTAATTTTTATTATAATATATCATAATATAACACTAAGGCATACCTTAGTGTTGATGACAGCCTCCCGGCCGGGGCTCCACAGCAGGGATCACCCGGTGTATCTCGGGTGATGCAGCTCCGCAGACGTGCGCAGGACGGCCCGCGCTGGGAGCTAAGTACACGGTCTAATGCCCACCGTACTGGTCCCCGTCCGCTGCGTAAGGACTGCCTGGGTGTTCCGCAGCCCTCCCATATAGGACAGAACTACAAGATAGAGCTGACGTCACAGAATCCGTCGGTACCGGCACGCTTAACGCCATAAGCGCCGGGTAGCAAGGGATCGCTCAGGTAGGGTCACTGGGCGGGCGATGCCAGGACACGCCTTCGCCTTCCCTTACCTGTCCTTCAGCAGCGGGAGGGAGCGGCCAGAGAGTTATCCTCCCGTTCCCTCTCGGCTGCCTCCTTCAGCGAGATGACGTTGAATCAGAAATATAGTGTTTAACAGTCTATATATGTATGTTTGTTCCTTTGTGGCACACTAGAGATCAAACGCCTGGACCGATTTTGATGATTCATACATCAATCGATTCGTCTCAATCATGGGAGTGCTACTAAAGATATGATAGTAATCAAAATTCAATATGGACAAAATTAGGCGCCATATTGTGACGAATCGAAATCGAAAAAATCATGTTTAGGTTCCTAACACCATTTTTCATTTTATATGATTGTTTAGGATCTACAATGCTTTAAAGTTGTATATTAACCACTTGCGCTTTTAATTTCAATCTTACGTTTGTATGGATCTTTGTTACTCTTTCACTTAAAAAAATACTGAATGGATTTTAATGAAACTTAACAGTAATATAGCTCATATATGATAATAACATATATATATATATATTCAAGAATACATAATATTTTTCAACAGTAGGTTCCGCCTGTTTTGATTGACTGAAAGTAGCTATGCTCCTTATTAACAGAATTATAGACTACTGGACTTGTTTTTTTCTTTTCAGTTTTTATTTGAAGTATAATTAAGCAGTCGGGTTTTTTGATTTTTTAAATTTATCTTTTTTATTTCACACTTTTTAGTTAGTTAGTATTTTAAGACGGTATATACCGTAGTCTTGTTACTTCAGTAAGGGAATTAATATCGCGGGAATTATTAAGTACCTTGCGTCGGTCTAAAAGATTGATTTATTAAGACATATAGAGACTTTACCAGCGAGGTCAAGGCTACAATCAATTTTCGCAAAAATGTGTGAAGTTAAATCAAGTCGTTACATAAATATCTCTAATGTATGTAAATTTTATAGTAAACTAGCACTTACTCAAAAAGTCATCTTTTGTTTATGTTTTTTTTAATAGTTTAGCAGTAAATATAAAATTCATTTACTTTTATTCGTCGACTATTTAAAATTGGTAGTGGCTGCATTGTCATGTCAATGCCGGACGGCTAAGATTGTGATATACACAAATGCAGTGTCAGTCCCTAGTGTCATAATTTGATATACCTACATAATTCACAGAAACCCAATATGTAGATGCCAGAAGTTAACTTCAAATGTTTTTAATCACACTATATACAATACCAATCAATGACGTTTATGTCGCAGGTTGAAGAAAGAAGTAATTCCCGTCTGTTGTTTTGGACAATGGTGGCAACTGCCTTAGATCACTAAATTAAATAATTATGCAATCACCAAAGCAAAGTTTACAATATTTGATTTAACTAAAGGCGCATAATAAAATTTTCATAACGTTAGGTAGAGCACCATAGCAATCTCATTTATTATCAATTTATAGTTCTCTTTGTAGTTTTCTTTTAAAGCGTTCACAGGTCAAAGACTTTGTGATCGACCCTTTTTTATTGGTAGTGTAAAGCTCGAATGAAGAGTACTCCCAGTAGTGCAATCAAGGCAATTATTTTCCAATTTTTTTTTGTTTAAAAAATACCGAATATCGTATCACTGTTAAGCACAAATGCTAAGTAACTTTTACAAATACAATCAAATAAACCTATTACTTATTACTTTATTTTTAAATCTTTTTCATCAATGAAATACTTATCTTATCCTAACTATCTATACTAATATTATAAAGAGGCAAGATTTGTATGTTTGTAACAAATAATCTGTCAAACTACTGAACCGGTTTCAAATATTAATTCATCATAAGGTAGCTACATTATTTATTACTAGATTTTGCCCGCGACTTCGTCCGCGTTATCGTCGTTTTTCGTAAAAAAGTAGCATATGTCCTTCCTCAGGGTTCCGTGGTTTTGATGTGACAGACTTAACTTTCGTATTTTAGTAGGGAAATATAATACTGTTAAAAATATCGCAATAAGGAACCGCAGAATATTATTATTATCACTGTGCCCCGAGACCATCAGCGTGTAACTCCTTGCATGTTATTATGTTAATGTATTGGTAATATTGTTTAGATCGCTTTTACATGAGTCTTAAGTACATATAGAATGAAAATACTTCAGCGCAAAGCTTCCGGGTAGACTACGTTGAAATTTGACCCGTCCGGAACGGGAAAGACCGACATAACTGACCATGTGAAAAACAACTGACACCGAGATCTACTCCAACAACACGAAAGGTCTGCCCTTGAGCCTTATTTATTGTCATTGCATAACACACCGATACTGGGAATTGCGTTCTTTTAAATTGGAATGGAAAATTATTTGGTATTATGGGAATTCTGGGAATAAAGATGGTTTCTCCTGCACCGCAACCTATTAAAATTTGAGCCTCAATTACATTTTGTTGCAACTGGGTTACTTTAAGCCGAGTTCCATTGCAAATTTGTGGTGGTCTTAAATTTCGGAGCAGAATAATCGGAATGCCAATTTTTAAACAAATTTCATGAGAAGGAAGTACGGGCATATTTAAAGAATTTAAAAATTCTATCGGGTAATTAGTGGCTTCTTGTTCATTGGCCATTCTATTTATTGAACTATAAACTTTGCTTTCCCCCTGGATATTCGACAGTATTTTATTATTAATCTCAGATGCCTGGTCATTGCGAGGAGTTAAAATGGACCTTTCGCATAGCCAAGAATTGTTCTTATTTAATATATTTGTTACGTCACCGTAAACTGACGATGTAAGATGTTGTTGGGATTGCACTATACAACATTACTCAGGCGTCAGAATAAGTTTTCCTTGGTGTAGCAGTGGATAGGTATCTTTGGTGAAGGTATTTTCTTTAATAATATATCAGAAAATTCACGAACATCCGGGTTATCTACAGTTCTCACTCGCATGTTTATAGTCAAATGCACCGATTGTATATTACGCCACAAATAAGAGCTTTTCAGGCAAGCCCTAACCTCAGCAGCTCGGGTTCCCCGTGGTATTACCGTTAAGGTTTGTCGGAAATCACCACAAAATAAAACTGTGATACCGCCCATGGGTCGATCATTTTGTCTTATATCTCTTAAAGTTCTGTCTACCGCTTCTACTCCTTTTCGATGGGCCATCGTATATTCATCCTATATGATTAAATTACACTTTGAACGAATATTTAAACACTACCAAAACAACTAATACGTGGTCCTAACTTTAGCTACCTTACACATAAAATCTAAGTGACTATTTGAACTAAAATATTCTTATAGAATTATAACCAGAAATATTACAACTCACAACAAAAAAGAAATGAAAATAAAGCTGAAACGCCTGTGCAATACTATCTACCTATACCTCCTTCACTTAAAAAAAAATACTTATAACTACTTTAATTAATAAAAGTATAAGTAAGAATATTTAAACACTACCAAAACAACTAATACCTGTTTTACAAAATAACAACAAAAGAAATTCAAATAAACTATTTAAAGACTGAAAGTCGCGCTGATAAGCACGGTTTCGGTCTCCTAGGCGGGGGAGCAGATGAGAAATCCTCATGGATACCCTACAGCCGGCTGCAAGGTTATGTCAGACTCGTACTGACTAAAAAAGACCGGTAGGAGCTGCCTCTGGCCGGGAAGGCCTCTAAGGCTTCATCGGAAGCGATCGTCCCCCAGGGGGGGAGCGACGCAGAAAACAGATTTAGACAGCTCGCTCTCGGACCTTTGATAACCTACCGCTGCCGCGACCCGTGTCGAGCGCGGCAACCGTTACACAAAAATAATCCTTATAGCATGATTCAGTATTCACGTGCGACGGCGCGATGGCTTATTTCATGTATAAGTTTGGTGTTTCTATACCGAGTATTATAAACGTAAGAGTAAACAAATATGATCAGAATGCTCCGAACTGCTAAGCTATCGGGAGTTACACGTGTTATTGTGAGTCAACCATAAAAGATAGACATATGCTGTTGCGGGATATTTTTTAGACAATTTTATGTAGAATATTTCCGTTATACATGATTTCTATGTAACTTTAATCATTAAGGCTGCACACGCGACGGAAGCTTAAAAAATGGAGTAACTTCTCCCGTTTTCCCAACATTTCCCTTCACTACTCTGCTCCTACTGATTGTAGCGTGATGAAAAGTATACAATAACCTGCCCAGGAGTATGAAGAATAATTGTACCAAGTTTCGTTAAAATCCGTCGAGTAGTTTTTGTGTCTATAAGGAACATACACACAGACAGACAGACAGACAAAAAATCTACTGATTGCATTTTTGGCATCAGTATCGATCACTAAGCACCCCCTGATAGTTATTTTAAAAATATATTTCATGTACAGAATTGACATCTCTACAGATTTATTATAAGTATAGATTACATTTTTCTTTATTTAAATACATTTTGTCCGAGTGAC